CAGCCAAGCACAAAGGTATGTATTGTAAACTCTTGGATGAGAAGCCCCCTCTACCAGAACACTGATGATGAGTGTTGACTTAGTATTATAGCATGGCAATGACCCAAACCATACCACCAAGGCAACAAATGAGTGCCTAAAAAAGAAGCACGTTAAGATGAGGGATTGGTCAGCGTCCAGACCTCAGTCCTAGAAGATCTGTGAGGGAGCTGAAAGCTTTGTGTTGAGGCAAGCAGGAGGCAAGGAATCTACATGATTTAGAGAGTTTCTGTGAAGAGGAGTGGGACAAAATTCCACATATAACAACTGTCACCACTGTGCTCGCCAAGTTGGTCATGTTTTGCTCGGGGATCAAATACTTACTTCACTCAATGACATGCAAAAGAACTAATAACTTTTTTGTAATGCTTCGCAGGTAAGACAGAACAGCTTGTGAGCAAAAACTCTGTAAGTGGGGCATATAAAACTAGTTTTCAGAGATATTCAAGGATATGAAAAATATGTTATTAGAAATTTTTGCAGATATTAAAACGTCACTAGAAGAACCAAAGGTGTGAAAAAATGTATACCAATTAAATAGATTCAGGAAAAATGAACTAACAGAGGGTTAGTTAGACCACAAGGTTCTAACAGAGGCTTAGTGCCGAAATACAGGGATATGATAGCAGTATTGGTAATACATGGCAGGCAAAGAGTTAAGCACTAGTTCAAAAGTCTTCAGGAGAACTTTGTTGTGCACAACTTTAACTGGACAAGGATTGCAATAAATAACTGTGATAGTGTTAAGAATTGATGCTTAGTGTATATTAGTGTATTGATATCGTTTTTATGGAGGAAGTGCACAGAACCAATATAGTCACCCTGGCAGCCATCACAAGCTATAGTAAAACTGAGTAAATAAAAACAAGCAAGCTCACAGCAACAAAGTTGTGTGTATAACATGACCGTCTAAAGAAGAAACCAAAGACACTAACCTTGGTAACCATGACCACCACAAAGTTCTTCTCATCGATTTTGTACTCTTTCAGTGGGATATCATCGTTTAAGATTTTGCCTGTGACATTCACACAGAAACAGCAAGTGACAAAAGATATGACAGAATTATTGAACACTGACTATGAAACAGATTTATAGGCTGTAACCTTTACATGTAGGGTGTATAGAAAATATAAACGTAGCCAATGTGAAATCAATCACTGGTTTAGGAAGTCCCATCAAAAAGCTTTGAGCTGAGCATTTTCACTGTTGCTATCACGCACTCATAGTGTGACTCCAAGGCAAGCAACTGCAAGTGGCATCATCCTTCTTCTATAATTTACGAAACGTTTTACGAAACAAAAAAGTTTTATGCACTTCTACAATGGCTTCCCTTTTTAAAACTGCAAGATACACTTAAGTTTCTTTTAAAATTTTATTAACATGGTTATGAATATGTTATTAGGCACTTTTGCATTTCAAAACTCTGTTTCCTGCTTTCCTTGCATTTTGCTTATTTGGTTATTATTTGGTTTCTGCTTATTATGTAAAAACTACCACAGTTGTTTCCGGTCAATAATAACACACCTTTAAGCTACCAAAGGTAATTGAGTGGTAATAACACATTATTAATACTTGTTTCTGACTTGTTACCCTACTATTGCCACTTTCTTACAGTGCTGTGTTTCCACATTATTACCCCCAGTTTTGGGCCATTATTATCCAATTACATAAATTTCAGTGTAATATTTCTCAACTGTAACCACTGTTGCTACCACAATATTACTTTAGTATTAAGTGGTTATTACTTTGGTAACTGAATGGTAATAACTTAGAACTTACCACCTTATTATGTTCTGTTCCTCCGTGTTATCCTACTAAACTATTACAAGGCTGTAATAAAAAGCGCTACCAATATGTTTTTTTGGAAGGTCAAGCTTTTTAACAAGCTGCTTAAAGCCCTTATCATGTAACTGCATCAGTAATAAGCTAATAATTGTTTTCACATCTGAAATAACCTGTGACCAAATGTTTAAGGGCCCTCCCCAGTCCAGTCAGACAGAGATCTCTGAGCTATGCCTTAAAAAGCAATCTAGCTGGATACCTAGACTGATATTAACTAGGTCATGTTTTAGGAAAGAAAGGACACCACATTGAATGGTACAAATGAGAATTATCATCCTACTAATGGGTGAATTCTAAAACACCTTGAAACTCCCAGAAAAAAAAATTTGGCAGGCTAGTCCATTTTGCAGAAATTTCAGTGCAGCAATTCAAAGTAGTACTCCATAGTTTGTATGTCCCCCACCCGCTTGCCTGACAAGGTAGGGGCACTCTCCTAGTGAGACGATGGGTGGTGTCCTAAGAGGATTTATTTCCAGATCAGGACCAGGGCATCACTGAGCTCGTGGACAATCTGAGGTGCAACCTGGTGCTGCAACCTGTTAGACAGGCTGTAGAAGAGAGCCAGAGAGTAATATTTTCTTCTTCTTTTTTGAGTGAATCTAAGTGAATTACTTTAATTTCTCTGGGAGTCACAATAAAAATTCTACTTTTACATTCAGTCTTTTGGCCCATATCAGCACCTAATAAGCTCAGACAAATATATGATACTGAACTCACTTTAAGAATAATCAGTATGTGCAGTTTGCTATGTGATTATGAAACTGATCGGAAATAACTAAACTAATCAAAATTTGTGGCTATTATTTATTATCCTCATAGGTTTTCTCTAACTGATAACGCTGGCAAATGTGTAGTTTGAAGAAACTTTTAATAACTCCTTTAACATGTTAAGAAAGAAACCTTTGATGATGGAGATGACTGGTTTCATGAAACAGGCAAGATTGATGACTGTAAAAAAAGATGGACAACGTGGCACCCCCACCCCAAATGTCAGCTATTTGTGACAGCCTTTTTCTGTCTTACAACAGTGTCGGCATGAGAATAATTAGTACTAAGAACAGAAATAAAAATAATCGAATCTGTTTTTTGTGGTTCATTCATTCATCTAATTAGTTTTGGATTAATGTTTGGGTAACGCTAATAGAAGTCTATCAATGTCAAAAATTTTGCCAGTGTGATTTCACGTTTATGTTTGATTAAAATCCAGTAGGGCATGAGATGTTTATGTTAAAACTGCTGCAGTGTTGTCAAATTATAGGACATGAATGTGCTTATGAATACTAGGGTGACTGTGACTTTGCTCATTTTTATTAAGAAATAATATTTTTTCCACTGTGCTGTCTTGTACCAGTTTCTCTTTTTTGGTAATGACTTTTCTTCATTTGGAGAAAACCATTTCAAATGATGCTGAGGAATTGTGCTGTATCATACAAAACAACTGTGTAGGATTGGATATATGCACCTCTACATACCCAGGTGTTGCTGTAACCCATTTACTTGGCACACAACAAATACTTTACCTTGGAATAAAGATAAAAGAAGAAAAAAAAACCTTGTGAATATTATAGAAGTAACACATTTAATTATTTACAGTAATATAATGTGTAATACTTCATTGCAAGAGATCAGCTCAAAGAATTAATTACTTCTTTATCTTCTTTCTGTGGCAGCAATGGAAGGCTTATCAGGCTATAGATGACAAACCAGGCTGCAGAAGCAGCAACGCCTCTGTATGAGCGGACTGTAACACCATGACATCAACAACACTGGACATAAAACCTGCTTTCATTCTATCCTGTACTGTCATCAATAGAAAAGTTAGGAAAATATAACATTTGAAGACAATGTCAGAAAATAACATGAAAATGTGCTATTATTACTACTGTTTATATGGCCATTATTAGGGGTGCTCTGGTGAAAAAGGGTCTAAACTTGCCTATGCTAACAACCACGTTGTTATAATTACAAAAACACACCGCAACATCTTATTGTTCTACAACATTTAACTCTTTAGCTCCTGTTAATTCATTTGCTAGACTAGCCGTTAGCATACGTACTGTGTTAGAGGCATGTTGCTATCTAGTTAGCAATGCTACACACCTGTTACTACTGCACACTCCACAGAGGCCCAGAGTTACTGTTCATACCATAATTATCTGGAAATTAACTGTTGCCCTGAGATTTTACATAAGACCAAAGATAATATAAAAATGATGTTTTAAACAGTATTAGATCAATTACACTCACAGAGCACTCTCATACCTGGTAACATGGAAACTTTAAATAAAATGTTAGATTTAAAAGCACAGCAGCAGAAGGCGGTGTCATTTTTCTATTTATTTATTAGAATCATCAACAGATACATTCACCCTGGGGGAAACCAGTGACCAGCAGGACCACAGCTGTCCTTTGCCAGATGTTCTGTTTAACTACTGAGAAAGACGTCATTTCAGAAACATCAGGAAGACTGAAGCTCATCGCAGGGATCAAGCAGGACTCAAACTGTTTACCAGCAGCGCCCTCAGAGGGAAATCATCAGACCTCCGCCTTAAGCCCATTCCAGAAAATGTGCAATCCCAGCACATCATGAACGGTGTGACAGCGACATTTGCTTTGTGTGCTGTTAGAAGTACTGCACATCATCCTCATGTAAAGAGGCTCTGGACTCACATGATCAGGTTATATTCAGTCCTGTAGCTAGTTATATATTTAATATATATATTATCCTCTCTGATTATTCTGGTATGAATGACTCAATTACAAATAACACACGCAGTGTGAAAGAACTGCCTGATTAATCCCTTTGACTTTTTGTCTTTAACTTTATCAATAAAACAGCTGCAGCTTTCACTGAAAGCACACAATATGGTGCTTTAGCCTTTGGACTTTTTTCATTAGTTAATGTTGGAGTTACTGCAAAGTGTGAATCATAGGATGATCTGTCTGCTGTCAATGGGTGGCGCTGAGGTTAAATCTGAGGGCAGCTCCTGTAATCACAAAGAGAACAGAATCAACACAAACCGTAAAATGTTCATCCCTCAAATGTGAAATAAATTTGATCCTTTCCTGTCCTCACACGCTTCAGGATCTGCAGTTCTACGCTTACATTTTTTCAGTTCTACAGTTCTGCTGACATTACAGTTTAATGTTTACCTTTGAGTTGTTGGTGGTTTTTAAATTGTGATTTCCAAACATGAGATGATGGAGCAGCTTTCCAGTCCTGGTGCATCGTGGTCAGCTGCAGGGAAACAGACAAACATATGGACGTATCATCACCAGTGTTTGAGCTGCTGCCTGAGTATTGTAAGCTGTAACTGTGAGAACATTTTCAGTCCTCTGCAATTCACCTACAGTTAAAATTGTGCTAATGACGAGTTATTGAATTGCAAGGTGTTTGTAAATTTCATGTTACTGTCCTTACAGATGTGGCTAGAGAGAGAAAACATGCTGCTGTTTGCACATATTTAATAATCAGCTCTACACAGAGCTGAAGGACAGTCCAGCCTGTTGCTTTTCCAATCTTAACACACGTTAGTTAGTGACTGAACAGGCCGGTGACTTTTCTCTGTTTCTCATGTAACTGGTTTTAGCGCCTCACCTTCAGCTGCAGGTCTGAACATCCTTTAGTTCAGTACAGTCAGAGCAGCTGAGCAAATGTCTGAACTACAGCACTGAATTTAATGAACATTCAAGCTCAAAGTGTCGGCTCTCAGTTCATTCATGTGCACAGATTAACTGATGAACGCCGCTTTCCCTGACAGCCGACTGCTCATCGTAGCTAGCTAGCCAAGGACATAGTTGCTAAATAGCTGACAAACACGCATTTAACTTACCGAAAAAGTACGCCAGGGCCTCGGGTCCTTCTGTCGGTTAATCCAGTTTACTGCAGAACACCTCACGCTGTCAGTTTGAAACAGTCCATTGTGGTTTTGGAAAGTAAACGCTGGACCTCCTCTCAGGGTCCTGATCCTCCATTCCCAAACAGAGATGTGCAAGTTTCTCTGTGACTGCAGCTGCCAGTCACAGTGTTATGATGACCCCAATTCTACAGCATTATGGTAGTAGTCAAACTCAAACTTATGAGACTTATGCTCACCTTTAATTCCAGTTGTGACATTTAAATTTTTCTAATATACATTTAATCTGGGGCAGCATCTTGTGTGGTGGTTAGCACTGTCGCCTCACACCAAGACGTTTGTGGGTTCAAATCTACCATGTGTCCGAGGCCTTTCTGTGTGGGGTTCTCCCCCGTGTTTTCTCCCTGGGTCCTCCTCTCACAGTCCAAAGACATGCACTAAGTGGGGTTAGGTTAGCTGGTCTTTTTAAATAGGTGCAAATGTCAGTGCAAGTGGTTGTCTGTCTCTCTGTGTTGGCCCTGCAGCAGACTGTCCAGAGTGTACCCTGCCTCTTGCCCTACGGTAGCTGGGATAAGCTCCAGCACCCCCACGGCCCTGAATAGATAAGCAGAAGAGGACGGATGGATGGATGAATACGTTTAATCTGTTCAGAACATGTATTATTCCATATAGCAATGAGAAATCTTTTCTGCAGAGAAAGTACTTTTAGATTTAATACTTTAAGTTAAATTTTCCAATAATAAACAGTTTAGTGTGTTGAAGCGGTTTTACTTTCTGTTTTTTTTCCAATGTACTTTTTGTGGCTTTTACTCTTTATTGTGTTCGGACAGTGGAGAGAAGACAGGAAAGCTGGGGTTAGAGGACAAATAGAAGCATTAGCAGATTGGAGCCTGGACCTCTGCTTTAGTCTTACAGCATATGGAAAACCTGCTCAGCCCAGTGAGTTAGATTAAAATCCTTCAGTCAGGAAGTTGAACATAGTGACATTCGAGTCATGTAAAAGAAAAGACAACAATTTTTGTAATTTTAATATAAACTGCAACAAACATATAAGGCTTTCTTCTGAAATGTATAAAGATGGCAGTCTTCATTTCAATTATATCTCGACTGCTTGCTGTGGCGGTGTCTGTACTAAAACTTGGGCACATAACTTACTTAGGTATTGTCACTTGATTCTCAGACAATCTTTTAAGATCAGATGATAGCGGGAGAGGTCGTGAAGTGGAGAACTGTTTAAATGCCACATTTGTTGCAGCTTATCCACCTCTGCCACAGCTGTTCTATTCAATTTAATTACTATAATTATAGTGTGTTTGCAGTCTGCATTTCCCAAATTAATTATACTGGGTAAATTATTATTACTATTTTTTTTTTTTTTGAGGTAATGACACGAGAAACAAGGTCTGATTAAAACACAGCTATTATTTTCTCTTAACCTTCAAGCTTACCTGCATAGATGAGTTTCTGTCCCACTGAAGGAAATGCATCTTTACCTCTGTGCTCTTCTATTTTCTCCTTCAGGGCTTTCACCTGTCAAACATATCAAGAAATATTAGTTGGAATGAGCTCTTCTTACTATCCTTTGTCTGAGAACTGACAGATCTATTTATCTGCACTCACTGTCTCACGTCAAAGGGATTATTTGTGATTATCAATATAACTGAAAATGTAACTATTTAAAATGAGAGCACAGTTAAGAGTTTGATTGTTGCTTTTATAATTCCAGTTATGCCATTTTGCCACAACACCGCCTAATATGTTTTGACAGTTTAACTGCATACATCTGTCACAAAAAACAAAGCTGTTCATTGTTTTTACGTGACATATTAAAATCAGAGTTTTTAAAGAAAACATTTTCCTAAATGGAAAAATAAATAATGGACTGGTTCTTATATAGCGCTTTTCTACTCTTCTGAGCACTCAAAGCGCTTTATACAACTGTAATAAATAATCACAAGTACAGTGATGTTAAATACAATTACTTTGACTTTTTGGGAGATTTTCTTACTTTAACCAGAGACACAAAGTGTTGCTGTATTATATCTCCTGGTTCTCATGACGATTTCTAATTAGAATATTGTTATAAGTTGATGTGGATTAATTTATGCCTTTTATTAGGTTGTAAATTCTTTTTAACAGCTGCACCTCTTGCATGTTAAACTATGATCCCCTGGGTCCTCCTGTACTGGCCTGCTCTCTCTCTCTGTCTGTATGTGTGTTTTGTGCTTTGGGCTTGTTCCAGAAAGCATCTCCCACCCCGCGCCCCTCGACCCTCCTGATGAGGCACACCTGGCAGCTGTTGGCTAATTAACCCTCCAGGTCCAGGGTTTAATTGGCCGTTTTTCACTACTTTTGATTTTGCCTTTGTATTTCACCTTTAAAACTTGCCTTGTTTGATATCATTCTTTTCAGCACAACCTCACATGTCTGAATTTAGAGTTATTGTTTTATATTAAGACACCGTGTTAACACAATTGATCTAAAATTACACAAAAATCATAAAATCCAAGTTAGAAAAAGTCATATTTTTTACTGTAAAAACCACAAACAATGTTTAATGTTTAAATGCAAATATAAATTGTAAATTTAAACAGCTAATGCCTCGGGATGCCACACTTTGTGCCACTCCAAAAATAGTTTCTGTTCACCACAAGACAGCCGAGCACATCACAGGGATAACCTGCAGGCCTGACATCACTACTGTTTTTACCGTTTCTTCCCACACTAGACGTGATGATAGTATTCAGAAAAAGTATGAGTGAAGTATTTTTCTCATCATAACTCTGGTTTTACGTAGCCTATCAACACAATGTTAAAACTGGTACATAGTTTGAAGTCCACACTTTCAACACAAATATCAGCATCAGAATACGTTATTAATCCCTAAGAAAATTTAGTGGTTAAGTTGCTCCAAGACAATAACAGTAACAGACTGAACTATATTAAATAATACAATACATACAAAATTTACAAAATGTTCAAATAGCTCAATTATATTACAGAGGTGAAATATATATAACTGACAGTTTACTGTAAACTAGTTATTTGTTATTTTTCACTTTAGAGAATGT